TATGATTTGAAAAAAGAAAATTTGTTTGATTATGAATTTTGAAAATAATTTTGAAATGATTTGTACTTTTTTTTATAATTGATTGGTGTATAGAATATGAGAGGAGAGATGAGAAAGAAAAAGTGATTGATTAATTGATTAACAATAATAAATAAATAAATAAATAAAAGAGAATAAAGGAGTTTTGAAAGTAATTTTGATTTGTATTTTAAAAATTTATTTGGTTATAAATTTTGATTCAAATCATAATTTGAAAACATAATTGAGTTTAGAAAATTAAACCAAACGTTACCTTCGTTTTTTGATAGAATTTTTAATTTTTAAACTTTTTAGATGAATTAAGATTTTTTTAAAAAATAAAATCGTTTAACCAATAAATTTATTTCATGATCAAATAAAGCGTTAATTAAAAAAATTATTATTCATTATAGAGCAACGCTCTACACCTACCATTGATTGTGAGGTCTCTTTTGGTATTAAGAATTATTGATCTCTTAACCAAAGATTATAGCTAGGTTGTGTGATCATGATTTCCCCCTTGCGACAAGTATAATTTAAATAATTATATTATGTAGAACCTTTCTTATATTACGTGGGGGTATTTGGGGTATTTGAAAAGTGGTTATTTTTTAAATATTTTGATTTTTTAGTTATTTTAATAGGTTATTTTAGGTCAAGTTTGGCATGATTGAAAAAAGATAAAAAGTCAAAAAGTCACTATCTTATTTAAGTCACATCATCTTATTTAAGTCACATCACCTCTCTAACACATCACTCCAAACCCAACCCAAACTCAACCCATATTTCATAAAAAAGTCAAAAAGTGCACTTATTTAGTCTTCCCAAACTAGGCCTAAGTTTTTATGTTTGGAAAGATGGGTTGAATTTTTGTTTGAGTTGTTGTATTGAAAAATGTGTTTAAAATGATGTGGGATAGTAAATGACCAAAATGCCGCTGTGTGTATTGTTGCTGCCGTCGTGGGTTTCTCAAAAATTAAAAGAGCAAAAGCGTCATTTTACAGTCTGTCAATTATAGCTTTGAAATAATTGGGATAGTAAATGACCAAAATGCCCCTGTGTGTATTGCTGCTGCTGCCGTGGATTTCTCAAAATTAAAAGGGCAAAAGAGTCATTTTATACTCTGTCCATTACACCTGTGCGTCACGTGGGAAGTGATGAGCAACAGTATAGCTTTTTGGATTTTTTTTTCTCAAGAGGCTACAATAGCCTGGATTTCCGTTTGCCAAACAACAACGCCTATGCATCTTATTCTCATGATATAAATAAAGATCAAAACAAAGTCTCACCACAAAATTAAATGACAACTATCCGCAACAAGGGAATCAACTAGCAAATCTTTGATAATTATACACATATTATTCAGAATATAAATAATAAAATATTTTTTAATAGTAATAGTTCAAAATTTTGCATTAAATGATGATGAATAATTTATCATGACTTAAAACAAATAAAGGAATTTAAATTGATCACATAATTGATAATTATAATAAATATGTATACATGTTTAATAGTCAGCAATTTATCACATCTTAACCCTCAAATTTGATATTTGTGCATTAGATTTGCACTAACTATGAGTCTTGTTAATGACAACTCTAAAGATTGTCAATAAAAATTAAAATATTTAAAATTTCAGTACTTATTTTACACATCTCATAATAATTTTATATATATTTCTTTATATTTTACGTATTTCAATACAATTTATATATATTTGAATACATTTTAAAATATTTGATACCATTTGTGAATGCGTTTATTTCTCTCTTATTATAGAAATTTGTAGTAGTTTGTGTGACAGACTTGAACTTAGTAAGTTTTGTTAACTTTCAAATTATTTTGAGATAGTTGTTTGTTGAGCGGGCTTGAACTTAATAGATTTACTCTATTTGATAATATAATATTTTTTATATTTATAATTATTTTCTTCAAATATATATATATATATATATTGTAGATAGGGACTAGGATCATCGGTTTTTATGTTGTTTTTTAATATTTCCCATAAAATATTATCATTTTAATAAATCATACCTTATACTACTTTACAATTGAAAATTTTGGCCCAAAGTTTTGACTAGAATAGTCCAATTATATATATATATATATATTTGTAGATAGGGACTAGCATCATCAGTTCTTATGATTGTTTTTTAATATTTTCCATCAAATATTATCATTCTTATGAATCATACCTAATACTACCTTACAATTGAAAATTTTGGCCCAGTGTTTGACCAGGATAGTCCAATGAGCCAATGACAAGTGCTTATGTTAGTGCAAGCAAAATTTGAAACTCTCACATCACCAATTCACAATCCCACTCGTGTCCCCATCAAAACCTGATTTCCACTTTATTTTACACAACAAACAAACCTGATTTCCACTATGTTCCCATCTAAGTCTTCAGCAGCCACCACGCCTACTGGAGAAGCCATCTCTCTACAGGCCCGATTCAGATTCAAATTTTGGGGACAAATTTATTAATTTGCAGTTGACTCTTTACGGAAATTTCATTCTGTATTCCGATCGAAATTTAAGTTCATCTGTAACGTGTGGTTGAGTTTCATTAATACTTTGGTGATAAATAATTTCTTATAAGTTTGATCAAATCAGGCCTGTAATTGGTTATCCGAGACTTGGGCCCACGAATGCTGTAATGACACTTCAGAACGAATTTGGATCCTGTCCTTAATTTTTCTCCTTGCCTCCATAACCGTTCATATTTTAAGATTTGTTGAGTATATCATACCTGTAAAAAATCAAGTTGATCGGATATTAGAAAGCATGTATTTGGAAAACTGTTTATTAATTTTTTTTTTAAAATGGCTTTTAGTTCGATGATCCGAACACGTAGTTTCTGATATCCGATTAACTTGATTTTTTAAAGGTATGATATACTAAACAAATCTTAAAACGTAGCGGTTCGGATTATCAAAATTGAGCCCAAAAGTGAGCCAATGACCCAGTAAATAAGGAGTCAGAGAGAGAGAGAGAGAGAGAGAGTAAGGAGAGGATCATGATTCCCTCATAACATCCTTTTTTTTGTTCAAAAAAAAAGTCTTCAGCGGCCAGTATTTTTTTTCTCATTCTTCCTCGGAAAAATTATGGTTGTGTTTGGTATAGCTCTGCAATCTTAATTCCAAAGTTATTTTCAGCACATTATTTGGTTTAAGCTTTCCAAAATTGATTCCAAGTCACATTTCAAAACTCATTTAGAAACCTGTTTCGCAACACAGTGAATTTTTGAATTTTGAATTTTGAAAAGAGTGATTTTGGTCTACCCGAATGTCCAGCTGATTGATTGCAAATGGCACGTGTTATTTGGAAGAGAAAAATGGGAATTTGTTTTTGATTTTCTTTTGACAAAAATAATATATATTTTTTTCATATTTTAAATCAAAAATATTTTTAAAAAAATAATTTGAACCAAATATACAATAAAAAATATTTTAAATCAGTAATTGAATATTTATTTTGAAAACAAAAAATTGTTTCCTTTGTAATATTTTCAGTTAAAAAATTGATTAATGTTATTTTTTGTTAATAATTATTTTTTTAATAAAATTTTAAAAGAGTTTGGTTATGAAAGTTGATCAGAATTTTCAACAAAGTTCTGAGTAGTATGTTTGGTTATGAGTTATAACAATTTGAATTAAGTTTTGAAAATCCTTTCAAATTGAATATTTATTTTGAAAACAAAAAAATTGTTTCCTGTGTAATATTTTCAGTTAAAAAATTGATTAATGTTATTTTTTGTTAATAATTATTTTTTTAATTAAATTTTAAAAGAGTTTGGTTATGAATGTTGATCAGAATTTTCAACAGAGCTCTGAGTAGTAGGTTTGGTTATGAGTTATAACAATTTGAATTAAGTTTTGAAAAATCCTTTCAAAACTCATTACCAAGCAAATTTTCGTATTTCACATGTCACATCAAACATTCAAAACTCAATTCAACACTCAACTTAAAACTCAATTCAAAAATCTTTCAAAACTCATAACCAAATAAATTTTTTATACTCAAATCATAATTTCAAATCTCACAAACTCAAAATACAACTTTATTCTCAAATCATATTTATAAAACTCTACCAAACATGGCATATATTCATTCAAATGTTGTGTTTCAAAAATTACAATTCGAGATTTCATTTAATTGGATCCTACTCGAGAATAATAGCTTCTCTTCCTAAGGATATGGCAATACTTTCCATTCTCCCCTACCGAATTCCCTCAGCATATCTGAATCTGATTTTTATCAATTAAACCCCCCAAAACTATGCCCAGGGGGCTCTAAAATCCAGAGCTTGATCACCATGAACTCATCCTTCAATATCTCCACATCCCTTTTGTTTGTTTGCATTTTAATTTGCTTCCTTAACCCCAGAATCAAAGCAACCCCAAATTACCTTGCCATTCTTTGCCCAAACACAACAACTTACACTCCCAACAGCACATACCAAACCAACCTCTGTTGAGGATCGGGGGCACACCAGGGAACTCAAACAAGCAATAACACACAAGTTTTAACGTGGTTCGGCAAGTCGCCTACGTCCACGGGCAGCGGATTCACTATATTGAACAAAATGGTGAATTACAACACTCTCTGTAATTCTCTCTCTCTTTGCTCTCAACTCACACCTCTCAGCTCCACATCTCTCGCACTCTTTGGTTCACGGTTTTCTTCCTCACTCTCTTACTCACCCTTTGGCCTCTCCTCTCAACCTCCATTTATAGGTGAGGGAGTAGGTGGGAGAGCCTTTGGGTAGCCTCCATTCTTGACCCTTGTCATGGTTGGTGGCCACCAAGCTTGACTTGGTTGGTTGCCTTCCATTGTTGACCAAGGTGTGTTCCCATGGAAGAGAATCACCTCCTTCACATGGGGTGAATTCAACAACCTCAACACCCTCTTCTCTTCCCTCTCCTCCAATTCCACCTCCATCAATGGCTTCTCCAACTCCACCGCCGGACTCAACCCCCCCAACATAGTCTACGGCCTCTTCCTCTGTCGTGGCGATGTTTCCACCGCGGTCTGTCAAGATTGTGTAACCACTTCTACCAAAGAAGTAGTACAAAGGTGTCCCAATTCGAAAGTTGTCACGATTTGGTACGATGAGTGCATGTTGCGATACTCGAACCAGACCATCTTCTCTATTGCCGATGAGGCAAGTTGGGTAACTCTGAGAAATTCGCAGAACGTAACGAACATAACCAGTTTCAGAGAAGTCTTGGGAGGTGTAATGGATGATATAGCCACACGGGCTTCGAATGGTGGGTTTGGTAAGAAGTTCGCAACGAGTCAAACTAATTATTCATCTCTTCAAACGCTGTATGGGTTAGCACAGTGCACACCGGACTTGAATGGTATGGATTGCAATAAATGTCTTCGAGATGGTATCTCGAATTTTCCGAGTTGCTGTGATGGAAATCAGGGAGCGAGGGTTCTGTTTCCGAGTTGTAATGTTAGGTATGAGTTCTACCCTTTCTACAACGTCACCGCCACTGCACCGCCATCGCCACCACCTCCACCTCCTCCTCCTCCTGCTGCAAGCAGTCCAGGTAAATTCAAAACAAGACATATATAGACTCTGTTTGGATAGATGGATTTTGAAATTGAATTTTCTTGGTGATGCAGGAAAGGGAGGAATGTCAACTCAAGTACTCGTCGCCATCGTTGTTTCAATTGGGGGCTCTGTTGTACTTGTCATTTTAGGATCCTGTCTCGTATGTAGGAAAAGGAAGAAGAAATATGATGTTGTTGAATCAGATATGAGTAAGACTAACTATAAAATAAAACAAAATAAAACTTGTTTTCTCTTGTTTACAAATTCATTAATTGTATTTACATTTTGATATGTCCAGTTGGGAATGAAATCTCAGCAGTACAGTCCTTGCAATTTGATTTGGCTACAATTCAAGTTGCCACGAACAACTTCTCTGATGATAACAAAATCGGTGAAGGTGGATTTGGATCCGTCTACAAGGTAAGGTGTTGGATCTAATTGTAAAATACAGAATCATTCAATAATATTAGAAGTTGCACAAATTTGGTTACAAAATTTCAGTGGATATCATATGTTGTCAGGGTATACTTTCCAATGGACAAGAAATCGCTGTGAAGAGGCTATCTCAAAACTCAGGACAAGGTGCAGAAGAGTTCAAGAATGAGGTTGTGTTGGTAGCCAAGCTTCAACATAGAAATCTAGTGAGGTTACTCGGATTTTGCTTGGAAGGAGAAGAGAAGATACTCATTTATGAATTTGTGCCCAACAAAAGCCTGGATTACTTTCTATTTGGTTTGCACGTTCTACAAATTGCATTCTAGTGCTTATAGTTCCATTCCAAAATGTTCACATCATGCTCACATTTAATTTGTCATTGTTAACTTAGAACATTTTTCCCCCCCTTTTTTCTGCTCAATGTGCAGATCCACAAGAACAAGAAAAGTTGGATTGGTCAAAACGTTACAAGATTATAGGAGGAATAGCTCGAGGGATGCTTTATCTTCATGAAGATTCTCGACTTAGAATTATACACCGTGATCTCAAAGTTAGCAATGTTCTATTAGATGGGGATATGAATGCAAAAATTTCAGATTTTGGCATGGCTAGGATCTTTGGTGTGGATCAAACTCAAGGAAATACAAACCGAGTTGTTGGAACATAGTAAGTTTTGTGTCCCCACATGCAATTTATATATGTTCTTCTCAAATTTGAAATAGTGAGTACAATCTTTATGCAATCTCATGGAAAGCATGCATTTTTTTCTGAGTTAAATTGTTGTGCTTACTACTCTCAATGGTTTCGTATCTAATTTTTATGATTTTTTTGCAGACACACAAAAATAAAAAAGGCGTTACGTGCAATTTCTTCTTTTCTTATGACTATTACTTTTTTGTTGCTAAAACAATGGTGCTGGCTTGCAGTGGTTATATGTCTCCAGAGTATGCGATGCATGGACTATTTTCGGTAAAGTCTGATGTGTTTAGTTTTGGTGTCTTAGTTTTGGAGATTATAAGTGGCAAGAAAAATAATACATTTTACCAATCAGAATATGCGGAGGACCTTCTAAGCTATGTGAGTGATAAAAAATTTTTATGATTATTAGTTTCAATCTCAGTAAAAAATCATCATATCTACAAAGTCGTAAATAATGAATTGTTGTAGGCTTGGAAACTCTGGAGGGAGGAAAGACCGTTGGAATTAATGGATTCTGCTTTGGAAGGGTCATATTCAAGATATGAAATCATTAGATGCATTCATATTGGCTTGTTGTGCGTCCAAGAAGATCCAGATGCTAGACCTTCTATGGCAACAATTGTTGTAATGCTTAACAGCGACTCTGTTACTCTATCAATTCCTCAACAACCTGCATTCTTTGCTTGTAGTGGAACAAAGTCAAAAAGAAGACAAGGCTTAGAATCGGATCAATCTACAAGCAAGTCAATATCATGGTCTGTGAATGAAACATCAATTACTGAATTATATCCCAGATAATGTGAAGTCTAGGCCATATGAAGATTCAATAATAACTCTATATTGTGAAAGAAATAAACTCAAACTCAAATACAAAAAATATATTTCAATATTTGTAAGATTCAGAACACTGGAAAATGTAATTAGAAATTAAATATGTAATAGTGTGTTTGATAATTCATTCCCTTCAAGTATGTCATTTATGTGTAGCATGTAATAGTGTGTTTGATAATGCAATCAAGTTCATTATTCACAGTCAAATATATTTAATTTTTGTGATTTTAATTACAATGGTTACACATTTTTTTTTTTTGTGTGTGTGCGCGCGCGCAAGCATATGTTGAAATTTTCTTAAGCGCTTTGTGGGCCTCTTAAATTTTTTTAATTTCATATTTAAGCTTGAAAGAAACACAACTCTAATTATAATACTTAAATGACCCATCATGCATTTTTAATGCCCAAAACGAACTAATAAAATGGAGCCTTTTAATCTTTGACTGAGTTCTTCATTTTGATAAATTTACTCACAAAATCTTTAAATTCTTCATTAATATAATCTTCATTATATCTATGTGTTTAGTTCATGAGAGTCAACAATTTATTATATAACCCCAAATTTGATACGTGCGCTAATTATAACCCAATAATTTGAAAAGAATAATGTTACAGATTCTAAAAGTTTTATCAAAATTCTTATCAAATATTTCACATGGGCGTGTGATCCACACCATGTGGGTTTTACACCATGTGAGACATTTGATAATAAATTTAGTAGAACTTTTGAGATCTCTATCATTTTGAATTGAAAATTTTAGCTCAGAGTCTTGACTAAGATAGGGTTCGTTTGGGATGTGGGTTGACTTTTTTGTTATTTTAACCTGGGGTTAAAAAGTCTCATTTGAGATAGAATTTTTGACTTTTTTGACTTTTGTGAGAGAAAAAATGAAATAATTATGATTTGGATGTGATATTTTGTCTTAATGGGCTAAAAAGTCTATTTTGTCTTCTATGACTATTTTAACTAAAAAACTCCATTTATATATATAAGGAAAAAGGGTCTTTTTAATAACAATGATTGTGGAAACTCCAAACTTTCAAACTAATTTTGTTAATTTGTTAATTTTTAAAGAACTAAAAAAAAAAATCTATTGATTAGTTCCTTAAGTCAAAAATTCAAAAAAAAAAAAAATTCTAATTATCTACAATTTTGAATTTTAAAATTCAAAATAATATCATAAGTCACCCTCACTCTTTTCAAAAATAATGTTGATCAAAACAATTCAAATAAAAAAAAGGGTAAATTATTGATAAATCTCATTTAGAAGTGTTTTAACCCAACAAGTCCATGAAGGAATTTTTTAACCCATTTATAGTTTTATTCCATAAAGTCATCTTTCTTGATTTACACTATTTTCTTGGACACATATGCCCTTATATTTAATTTTGATACCCTTATAAATATTTTTTGAACGGTTAGCAATTTTATGATGTGAACATTCATATTTTAAAATTCACATTGGTAGGAATGTAAAATTGGCCCGTAGGCGGCCCGAAACCCCCCCGCGAGCCGAGGCAGGCCCGGCCCGTTGACAATGTGAATATTCACATCAACATGTTAACATTCATCTTAATAGGAGTGTAAAATTGGCCCGCGTCCCGTAGCGGTGCGAAACCCGCCCGCGGCTGGCCCGGTCCGACCCGTTGACAATGTGAATATTCACATTGATATGTTAACATTCATATTGATAATAATATAAAATTGGCTCGCTGCCCATGGCTGGCCAAAAGTCCGCCCGCCACCTGGGGCTGGCTCCGCCCGGCCCGGCCCGTTGACAATGTGAATATTCACATTGACTTGCTAACATTCACATTGATAGGAGTGTAAAATTAGCCCGCGCCTCGTGGCTGCCCGAAACCCGCCCACAGCCCATAGGCGGCACGGGCCGGCCCGGCCCGACCTGTTGACAATGTGAATATTCACATTGACATGTTAACATTCACATTGATAAGAGTATAAAATTGGCCAGCAGCCCAGGGCGGGCCCGACTCGGCCCGTTGACAATGTGAATATTCACATTGACATGTTAACATTCACATTGATAAGAGTATAAAATTGGCCAGCAGCCAAGGGCGGGCCTGACCCGGCCCGTTGACAATGTGAATATTCACATTGACATGTTAACATTCACATTGATAAGAGTGTAAAATTTGTCCGCGCCTCATGGCTGCCCGAAACCTGCCCACGGCCCATGGGCGGCCCGGGGCAGGCCCGGCCCGTCCTGTTGACAATGTGAATATTCACATTGACATGTTAACATTCACATTGATAAGAGTACAAAATTGGCCAGCAGCTCAGGGCGGTCAAAAGCCCGCCCGCCGCCCAGGGCGGGCCCGGCCCGGCCCGGCCCATTGACAATGTGAATATTCACATTGACATGTTAACATTCACATTGATAGGAGTGTAAAATTAGCCCGAGCCTCGTGGCTGCCCGAAACCAGCCCACGACCCATGGGCGGCCCCGGCCCGACCTATTGACAATGTGAATATTCACATTGACATGTTAACATTCACATTAATGAGAGTATAAAATTGGCCAGCGGCCTAGGGCGGGCCCGACTTGGCCCGTTGACAATGTGAATATTCACATTGACATGTTAACTTTCACATTGATACGAGTGTAAAATTGGCCTGCAGCCCGAGGCGGGCTTGGCCCAACCCGTGACAATGTGAATATTCACATTGACATGTTAACATTAACATTGATAGGAGTGTAAAATTTGCCCGCTGCCCGAAGCTTGCCCGCGGCTTGGGGTTGGCCCGGCCCGACCCGTTGACAATGTGAATATTCACATTGACATGTTAAAATGCACATTGATAGGAATGTAGAATTGGCCCGCGGCCCGTGGGCTGCCCGAAGCCCGCCCACGGCCCATGACAGGCTCGTTTCGATCCAAGCCCGAGCATGTCCGAGACCCTAGGTTAGGGCCTAGGTCAACACTTTGAAGCCCGGCCCGGCCCATCGGCCCGCTTAAGGCCCATTCAAGGCTCGGTCTGAGGCCTGGCCCGCCCGAGGCGCAATGTATTTTTTTGTGGAAAATAATAAAATTTTGGTAGAACAAATTAAAAAGAATTAAAAAAAATGGCTAGGCCCACCCAAGCGCGATCTAAGCTCGAGGCTAGGCCCACCGGCCCGACCAGAGGCTCGATCTATCGGCCCGTCCAAAGCCCGAATACCCTTGTGTTAGGGCTAGGGCTTGGGCCTAATTTTGGGCCCGGGCTCAAGCCTAGTCCGAGACCCTAGGCTAGGGCTTGGGCCATCACTTTGAAGCCCGGCCCGGCCTATCGGCCCGGTTAAGGCCTATTCAAGGCTCGGTCCGAGGCTCGGCCCGCGCCGAGGCCTAGTGTCTTTTTTTGTGAAAAATAATAAAATTTTGGTAGAAAAAATTAAAAATAATTAAAAAAAAATGGCCAGGCCCGCCCCGGGACGCCCGGGCCGTGGGCAGGTTTCGGGAACCACGAGGCGCGGGGCTAATTTACACTCTTATCAATGTGAATGTTAACATGTCAATGTGAATATTCACATTGTCAACAGGCCAGGCCCGTCCCGGGCAGTGGGCGGGCTTTTGGCCGCCCATGGGCCGCGGGCCAATTTTATACTCTTATCAATGTGAATGTTAATATGTCAATGTGAATATTCACATTGTCAACGGCCCGGACCAGACCCGCCCCAAGCCGCCCCGAGCCGCCCATGGGTCGCGGACGGGTTTCGCGCTGCCACGGGACGCGGGCCAATTTTACACTCCTATTAATGTGAATGCTAACGTGTTAATGTGAATATTCACATTGTCAATGGGTCGGCCGGCCTCGGCCCGCCCCGGCCGCTCGAATTTTTCCAGGCACCCATGAGGATTGATATGGGCCGGTCCCCTACACATTGACGATATGAACATTCACATTAGGGGTATTTTGGTAATTATGTCACCCATAGGACTTATTGAAACATAAGAAAATAATGTGTATTAAATGGAACATAAGTAGATGAAAAGGGTATTTTGGTCTTCTTATCTCAAATAGGACCTAATGGAATAGTCAAAAAGAATATAGGTTGGATGGAATAAAGCTCTTAGAAAATGGATTTATCAGAAAAGCTCCCTAAAAAAAATAAATACACTAATTATCTATGATTTCAAAATTCAAAATAATATGGTAAGTCACCTTCATCCCACTCTCACCTTTTCCGAAAATAATATAAATCTAAAATTTTCAAAACTCAATCAAATTAAAAATTCAATACAGTTCTCTCTTTAAAATACTCAATATTTGATCTTTTTTCCAGCCCGGCCAACTCCTCCCCAAATATAATGATGCAATGGTTATTCTCTCTCTTTGCTAATAGTCCAAACTTATTTCAAGTTTGTTTGTTTGTGACTTTTTTTTTTTCTTTGTAAATTTATATTTTCATGTGAGTATTTTTTTTTTCTATATATGATTCTTTTTTTTTCCAATGTATTTTTTTCCAACTAAATTGATAATAAATATATATCGGTTAATTATCTTTGTTTTGGGAGTTGATTTGAATTTTATTTTTATTTTTTTTGGGTGGATGTTTGTGTATTTTTTTATATTGTTGTTATTATTACTTTTGATATATGTGAATTGATAATATAGTTATGAGTTTTTTTTTTTTTTTAATTTTTTAGAATAAGATGTCTTACATTGTTCTTTATGATTTGACCATTTTTAAAATTTCTTAAACAAAATTTTCATATTTTTTATTTGTAAAAAATAAAAAACATTTAATTGACTTGCCCAAGAAAATTTTAAATAATGAACACTATTCCATAATTTATGTATTTAAAAAAAAATTAACACCCATATATGGAATAAGAAAACCTAAAATCACGCATTTTTATATTTTTCGTTTTTAACTCTTTAAAACTCTAACGGTACCTTTTCATTTTCACAACATTATCTTTTTAGAGAGTGGCTTCTCTCATGTTGGGGTTAAAACTGGACCAAACAGTCCAGTCAACAGGATCGTGACATGTCAGCAGATATAGCAATCAAAGGTTGAGATTCAGCCGCACATGTAGAGTTTTAACTCTTACATCAAACGGCATCGTTTTATACTAACGGGGGATCACAAACTAACGTTGAGGGCTTTTCATCGTCATCTTCTGGTGAGACTTCTCATCTTCACGCTCAAAAGCAATAGGTGATTTTTTTCGCGCTCAAAAACGATAGTGATTGTTTGTCTAGAAATTTTCTCTCCTCACCAAAAATCTTCATTCGTAAAAAATTAATGGATGAATCAATGTGTACTGAAGCTTTTGAACCTCCATGGATGAGAGATTTGTTGGGACCAAACAGGTGATTTGTATGCTCTGTCTCTCAATTGCTAGTGTTATACGCTTTTCATATAATTCAACATAATGCAATCTGTCCAGAATGCAATTTGAGATATCAGTTGATGTGTCCTTGATTGAGCTGCTGTTGTTTATAGGAAGTTGAATTGCCACCAATGATTCAAATTGACTGTTGTTCTATTTTTCATGAGAATACCAATGTTGGACCTTGTATGTATGTCAGGATCTCATGGTTTCTCTAATTTCTAAAGCTACTGAATTAATAGTAGCCAAATCAAATGAAATGTTGTATGGAATGGGGCTATTGTAGGGCAACACCAGGTTCGAATTTCATTCAACTTGAAGAAGAGACCACAGAGAAATTATAAAACTCACAATTTGTGGATTTAAAAGTAAATTTGCCCAATTATAATTAAATGTTGAAACTACCTTCTCCTTGTGGCCTGTTTGGCAACTAATTTTTTTAAGTAACTAATTCACTACTGCTGATGAACTTCGACAAAATAAATAAATAAATAAAAATCAGTTTTCAGTCATTCATAATACATCAAAAGGGTTCCCAAGCTTGAACAATGGGTCGGGTTTTGTGCAAATTTTTGATTTTAAATATTTACTTCATTCTTCAACTTAAACTGACAGTTTAGAACTACCCTTCTACTCCACCTTACCTTATCAATGATCTCCCAAACCTTTTCTATTAGAATCAAGTTGTGTCAAATACCATGCCAGAAAAATTGGAGGAACAAAAAAATGAATTTAATCTCTCACGTAGTTAAGCCACACTATGCAATCTTATATGGCACAGCAGAAGAGAAAGCAAAAGGAAAGAGAAACGTTGAGCTGCAGAAAGGAATATGACAAGTTGATTCTGAAAGCAAAACTTAAAATACAGATACTTCTTGTCTGAGAGTAAATACACATGTATCTCCATGGAGATTATACCAAATTAAATTCCTAGGATAACTTAAAAAAGAGGCCAAGCCCTAATAATGATTGAAAAATGTGTTCACTTTTCATGCTTAACAAGAGGAAAACAAACTATATTATCCCCTGTTTATCTAGGTGTTGTATAACACAAATTAAGATTGAGGCTAGTGAGATAAAAAACTTTCAGAGCCTCTAATCATGACACTAACATATTTTCAGCCACTAATCTTTCGTGGAACATAATATATATATATATATATAACAGCTGGGAAACTTGGCCAAGAGCTTGGCTGGTATTGCATATTGTGGATGTTGAAGTAGGTGCACTTTTTGTCAATGAGGCCAACTCCTTTTCCTGCAGTTCCTTCAGAAAGCTCTGCGCAGTTTCTGTCACGATCTTCATGGCAAAGTTCATAAGCATGAGCCACACAACAGTGTTCCAAACTGATGCAAGTGACAAGTCCCACTTCTTCACCTAAAAGAAAAAGGGCGGAAATTAAGACGGAAAAGATGCACAATTATTCATGTTGGATTTCGATATAGATTGCAATATTAAATGAGTTATTTGAAATGAGTTTGTATTTAACACATCACTTGGTAGTTTAAAATGATGAGAAACAATTTTTAAATTATGATTATGTTTAAACATGATAGTTTATACTGTTAAAGGTGATTATTGACGGGACAGATTGCATTCTGGACAGATTGCATTATGTTGAATTACATGAAGCAGAGTACATATGGTTTTTTTTTTTCCTCCCTTTTTTGATGGTGGCCATGAGTCCAAAAACCAATTACAAAGCAAGGACAGATTGCACTATGTTGAATTATATAAAGCAGAGTACATATGGTTTTTTTTTCCCTCCCTTTTTTGATGGTGGCCATGAGTCCAAAAACCAATTACAAAGCAAAATTTGTTTCAGCAGTAACAACTTAAAAAAGGAAGTTAGGCATCTCCTCCATCCATACACAATTACAAAGTGCTATTATCTCCAATTTTGCAGAAATATTGTTGCTGATATTTACTTACAAAAATAATTCTTTGCTATCAACAACCGTCCCCATAATCAACATCAACAGCACATGAAAAGCATAACCAAGAACAAAAGGCCACTGTAAATAACAAGCATGCTGGAAGCTATGTACACTTTGTTGTTGTCTAAGATCTCAAAAAAGGCCATTATCAAAAAATTCTTTTAAAAAAATTGTCTAAACTAGTTTCACTGAAGTCCGATAAATTTACTATATTGTGCGCTTGAGGATCCTTTAGAATCTTCAATTGAAGGACAAAGTAAGGACTCCTACATCAAAAAAGAAAGTAATGTGTCAGAAAACAAATCAAAACTATGCAGTCTTGACATGAATAATATAAGTTGTATAAAACCAAATAATTAAACTTCAGTAGAACTCATTGTCACCTGTAACAAATGAGTGAATGAAAGATGGTTCCAAGCTTGAGGTGTTTCTGGGATCATCCATGACATGGAATTGGGTATCTCAACACTCAGTGGATGGAGAGGACTTTGATCCATGTTCTTATCTTCGAACACAGGCACATAGAGAGGCATATTATCCTATATTATGCAAATTTATATAAAATCAATAAGAAGTGTATGATTAAGAAAGAAAACATTTATAAACAGAAAATAACCTTCAACCTGTATTGTACAATCTGTAATAGACGGCTGAGGGGCTGATTGAGATTCCATTTTGCGTCTACTTTTCTTTACTTTGGGTTGCAATTCAACCCAACTCTTAGGCCTTTTTTTCGGCCTACCCCTCCCCAAACCCTCCTTTTTTTTTTAACCCTTTCGCTTTAAAAACATGTGGGTTATGAGGTTGATTTTCTTCTGCAACCTTTTCACTTGATTTTTGTGGACATGAAGGTGCACGAGAATCATTTTCTTGTTCGTTCACACTAGCTTGTTTGCTTAAGACATCATCAATCTTTTTTGCCATTTCAATAGAATTTTTCATAAGCATGCATGTAGTTTCTTTGCTTTCAGCCACACGACAACCCAACTTAATCAAACTCAGGCACAACATTCTATAACGAGCATTCATATCCAAATCAGCCACAACTTGTTTAGCTACACACCTATTATTTTCTTGCACCAATCCATCTTTGGCTTTTTTTGCCCATCTCTTCAACAAGTAAGATTCTAGTATCTCTTTCATGTTCATCATGTCAAGGCCTTTCAAAGCATGGGAACACAAAATTCCACATCTCTCAAACAATCGACAAGTGCATGACACTTCAGGGCCTCGTGGGTTGGCTTTCACTTCACGAACCATAGGCTCATCAGGTATCTTGACCATATAGTCATGTGAAAGGTTACTTTCATCTTGTTTCCAAGCAAAAGCACGCAAGCTATTCAAATATTCTATCTTGAATAATTCAAAATTTTGGTTTGTGTAAAAATCTCCTGTATTAATCAACATGGGAACGGGTAATCCAATTCTCGGCAACTTTTGACGAGAAGCATATTCACATTCCAACTCCATGTGGTTAATATCATCAACAACCCTTTCAAAATGCTTAAAGAAATTCACTATTCCTAAGTCCGATTGCAAGAAATTACGAAGCTTGGCATTAAGCTTTCACTTACCTGTGTAGTATCAGCCCAAGCCGACCAAACTGTCATAACATAAGGCTTTGCCCGTTTTTCCCTCACCCCATATATAGTAGGCAACCAACTATTATCATGAACATCAAATCTGTCAAGCATTTCTTCCCAAGCAATGCAAAAGTTTTCCTCATCCTCATAATTGTAAATGAATTTACTAAGCTCGGCACCAATCCCACCATGATCACCTACATATTTACTTCCCAAGTGCTTAATTGCATTTTGCTTCATATGCCACGTGCATATTCTATGAAATGTGTCAGGCATAACCAACGAAATAGCCTTTGCCATAGCAGAGTCTTGATCGGTGAAAAATGTTTTCGGTTTCTTTCCCGACATAGCATCCAAGAAGCTCCTAAATAACCATTCAAACGAGGCAACAGTTTCACCATAGAGAAGTGCAGCTCCAAATATAACATTCTTTCTATAATTGTTAAATCCCAAAAAAACTGCTAATAGACGATAACCCTTATGAGTTCTATATGTTGTGTCAAAACTAACAAAATCCCCAAACACACTATAGTCAATTATCATTTTCGGATCAACCCAAAAGATGTTAGTAATTTGTTCTTCAACATCTAATTGCATATTAAAGTGAAATGAAGAATCTTTCATTGATTTGTCCGCGAAATACACCAATAAACTTCCAGCTTCCCCAAACTTCAAGTCCCGTTGTCGTTTGGTCCAAAGATAGTTTTTCAAATCTTGGCAAGTAAAACCAAGACATTCCCTTCCACCTGTTTGCCGAAATGCAAGCTCAAACGATGATCGTAATCTAATCCCAGAGGCCTCTACCAAATCAGCTTCAATTGCTTGAGCTTTTGTAATTTTTCGTTGCGAAGGCATCAAATGGACACATTCTTGAATATGAAGTGGGTGATTGTGATCATCAAAAAAATCAGTAACCTCATATTTTTTGCTCTTTTTATTCAATAAAACTGTCATAAGTGCCTCGCAACCAGTTCTTGTCTCTTGACACGGCTTTTTAGTTTTGATATCCCTATTGTCTTTACATCGGAACCCTTCTTTCGAACAAACAAACCTCCTAGAAGTGATCCTCTCTGTTTTTTTGCATGTGTTAGAGTATTCAATTCGAACACTGAAACTAGTAATCCTTCCGAACTCATTGTAAATTTTTTTTGCATCATCCAATGAATCAAACTCCAAACCTATTCGAGGTTTGTAATCTGGTATATTGAGGTTTGGATTGCCATCCCTATTTTAATTTTCAACAACAAAATAAATTATATTATGAAATCATTTAGAGTAATATAACCTTACCATGTTCTTTTTATATAATTTCTAGTGAACACATAATTGAGAACATAAATACCTATGATATTTTCTAAATAAAAAGTTACACTTATCAAATTGATTGGAAAAATTATAAATTAGTCCCAGAAGTATAGAAGTTATTGTATATAGGTACATTCACAAAAGTTATATAAACCATGTGAACATCTGGTAAAGAAAAAAAAGAAGCCATAGATATACAATATATATCCCTATATATGTGTGTGTGTATGTATGTTATGAACATATATGAAAAGCCTATAACACTAGCTATTGAGAGACAGAGCATACAAATCACCTGTTTGGTCCCAACAAATCTCTCATCCATGGAGGTTCAAAAGCTTCAGTACACATTGATTCATCCATTAATTTTTTACGAATGAAGATTTTTGGTGAGGAGAGAAAATTTCTAGAAAAACAATCACTATCGTTTTTTAGCGCGAAAAAAATCACCTATTGCTTTTGAGCGTGAAGATGAGAAGTCTCACCAAAAGATGACGATGAAAAGCCCTCAACGTTAGTTTGTGATCCTCCGTTAGTATAAAACGATGCCGTTTGATGTAAGAGTTTAGACACTACATGTGTGGCTGAATCTCAACCTTTGATTACTATATTTGTTGATGTGTCACGATCTTGTTGATTGGACTGTTTGATCCAGTTTTAACCCTAACATGAGAGAAGCCACACCTTATATATATATATATATTGGCTAATGTTTTTTTATTTTCTTTTAGTTGTTGGCTTTTTGGCTTTTTGACTTTTTTGACTTTTTTTGTGAGAGAAGAATGTAATGATTATAGGTTGGATGTGATGTTTTGTTTGTTATGGCTAAAATAGCCTATTTTGTTTTTTGTGGCTAAAATAGCCAAAAAAACCTAAAAAAGCCCTTGCCAAACACAGGCTATATCTATATTAGATATTTATTTTTGAAAAAATTATTTATAAGTCCTATTAAGAAAACTTATACTACATATGATTTTACTAAAAAATTTATGTTCCCATAAGTCCTGTGTAAAGTTTGTTGACACATTTACCCTTAATATTAGTTGTTAATATCATAAATAATGGTGAAATCATATATAGGAAATTGAATGTTACCATAAATTAAGTTTGTAAAACGTAACGTGACAATTACATAAACGTAACGTAACGTGACCATATCAGATGGGACATTACATAAACGTAACGTGACGTGACACCTACATAAACGTAACGTAACGTGTCACGTTACGTTTCGCAAACTTACTAAGTTTTTGATTTTTTTTAATTGAATGTGAAAATGTTACTTTCTATGATAACATTCATTTTGCTATATATGATTTTGCCATTATAATGTATGATAGTATATTAATACCATTTATTTACAACTCATAAGATCTTGTGAAATACATTCCTATCTAAATAGAACTTGAGACTCTATAAGAAATTATACATGACTTAACATAGCATAAGTGTCCGAAATAGGACTTATAAATAAGTCTTCCTTTATTTTTTTTATAAGGATAAATTATAAATACACCTCCTGAAATTTGCTTAAAATACAAATTGTCGCATGTGGTTTGAAAAATTAAAAATACCCCCTTGTTAAAATGTTTTATTTAATAGAATTAACTAAAAAAAAATAAAATTCATAATTACTCTTTTATACAATAATGAAATTACCTAAATTATTAATTGAAATATATTTCTAACATTATTAAAAACTGTTAATTGACTTGATAATTTATTAATAAAAGGGAGAGATTAGTTATGAAATTAGAAATTTCAGGAGGTGGAATATAATTTACAGAACCATAAGGGGTGATGCATATTTTAATCAAATCTCAAAGATTATATTTGTAATTTACTCTAAAAAAATACGATAAAATAAAAATAGTACGATTGTTGAATAAGTTTGATTTTTTTCATTAATGACATGCAGAAAATATTTTATAAAATGAATAATTTAAATGATAAAAATAAGATATGTAACAAGTTCCACAAATATTAATGCGATGGCCATATTTAGGCACCGTTTGGGATACACATTTGGGCTAAAATAGTCATATAGGATAAAATAGGCTATTTTAGCCAAATTAAACAAAATGTTACATCCAACATATAATCATTTCATTTTTTTTCTCACAACAATTAAAAAAGTTAAAAAACCTATCATAAACGAGACTTTTTAACCTCAAGTTAAAATAATCAAAAAAATTAAAAAGTTAATCTACATCCCAAACGAACTCTTAGATTTTAAAATTAAAAGAATCACATTATTATTTTAATTACTTCCCCATCTCATTTTATTTGTCTACTTTTCTATTTTAGTTCGTTCTAAAATATTTGTCTATTTTTTATTTTAGGATATTAAATTTTAAAATTGTTCCTTATAAATCATTATGAATATATTTTAAAATTTAAAACGAAAAACAAATATAAAAAAATATATATTTAAAATTTAAATTAAAATATAAAATATGCCATCTCTTTAAAATAAATAGATTTTTATAACTAGTAAATAAATTGAGACAGAAAAGTAACAAATATTAAGGCGAACATAAAGGGGGTGTTTGAAGCCAAGGTTTGGCTTTTTTGGGGTTAAAATTCATAGAAAAAATTAAAATAGACTAAAATAAGTTGATCGATAAAATGTCAACATTAATGTAGTAATCATTTTATTTTTTCTTACAGAACATCAATTAACCAATGTTTTAAAAACCGGACGGTGAAGCGAATCGCAAAGGAATCGGGTAGACGGTTAGCCGGTTCAACGCGTCGAGTTGAACCGGAATCGAACCGTGACGTAATAAATATATTAAAATTATATTTAAATAAAAATATAAGTAATAAAATTAAAAATTAAAAATTAAAAATATTAAATTATCTTAAATATTTGTCATAATATTTTTTTTACTGAAAAATATAATAGTATATTTTAAAATATTATTAATTTCAATTTTGGAAGATGAAATCAAATATTTAATATTCCCTCCATATGATTTTAATTCAAATAATTTGATTGAAAAGAGAGCAAAAATTTTGGAGGGATATCAAAATTTCAATATTCCCTCCAATACATTTGATTGAATCCTACATGGATTTCTTGAGTCTTTTTGAAAGAATTTTTTTCTTATAAATAGGTGAAGACTTTGACAATAATTTCATCAAGCTCTTAATGGGATTCCTCACAAGAGGAGACTCTTGAAAAAGAGTTTCAAATTAAAATTTTCTTATATTCTTATATTATATATATATATAATAAGAAAGAAAGAAAAAAAAGAAAATAATCAAAAAAAAAAATTTTCGATCCGGATCAATCCGGCGAACCGGCTCTGGGTCGACGTGTTCGCTGGTCCAACCATCGATTTTTCCGATTCTCCTTAAAAATGTCAGTTTTCATTCTTGGCCAGTTTAGAGGGTCCATTCGGATCGAAACCCCGACCAGTCGACGGTTCAACAGGTTGAACTGACCGATCCAGTCCGATTTTCAAAACCTTACATCTAACTATAAAAAAATTTAACTCTTTTTTCAAATGCATATATTTTAATCTATTAAAATAATCGATAAAAATAGTCACATTTTCAAAAAGAGGCCAAACTTGGCCAAGATCACCAAACAATTGTCCGTTAAAAACGGTGGGCTATGGGCAAATTTGATAAACATAGTGAGGGCCCACAAATCCAATTTGGCCTTGAGATGTGCACGGATAAGACACAGAAGTACGCAATTTGGGCCCGAGAGAGATAAGATCAAAGTGAGGAAAAAATATTTAAAAATTATATATTATCGTATTTTGGAGAATGTATATTATATTATTACTTTTACAGCACTAAGGCCTAGTTTGGGAAGACTAAATAAGTGCACTTTTTGACTTTTTATGAAATATGGGTTGGGTTTGAGTTGGGTTTGAAGTGATGTGTTAGAGAGGTGATGTGACTTAAATAAGATGATGTGACTTAAATAGGATAGTGACTTTTTGACTTTTTATCTTTTTTCAATATTTCCAAACTAGGCCTAAGTATGTTTTTAATTTTTATATCGTATTTAATTTATTATTTTATTTGTTATTGGTCAAATGATTCCTATTTTTTGACACGGTAATTTGTTTAAATAAATTGGGTCAAGCTAAGAAAATTGTCTTGGAGAGTTTAGTCGAACAGTGGGCCGAAATAAGGGTTTAGATAGCCCAATTTCGGGTCACATGGGCTCTAAGTCGGCCAACGATAGGTTGTTTGGGCTTGGACTTGGCTATTGAGGTAGAGATCTCTGCGGATTGAGTTGGCTTCAATAAAGAAGGTCGAGCAAGGTTCAACTCAGCAACTCATCAGTTAGTTGTTTGAGTTGTTCAATCAAAGAAAGATAGGCTTCTTTAACACGGTCGCCCAGGAGGGCCAACCAAGTAAAAATAGTAGCAGCAGACGGCCAAATGGCAAGGACCCCAAGACAAGGAGGTTAAGAGTTCGCACTACCATCACCACGGTGTTTATGAAGCCTATTTACTGGATTCTTAGTGAAATACGCAACGAACCCTTCGTTTGGCGGCCTGCCAAGCTGGGAGAAGTGCAAAGGGGCTACCATAAGAGGTATAGGTGCACCTTCTATAAGGAAGTGGGGCACTAATCAGAAGATTGCACGCCTCTGAGGCAACACTTGGAAGAGTTAGTGGCCGCAGGCCACTTGGACGAGTATATCGAAGGAAGAGCTGGGCCAGCCCCCTCAGACCGCAACGGGCCAGATGGGATGCCAGTTGAAGGTCCGCCTCAAGGCGTGATCAATGTAATACATGGGATCATCGAGCTTGAGTGAGTCTGCTAGTTTAGAGGGATGATAAGAAGGCGGAGCACATGAGGAAAGTACTGAGTGTACACCCAACTGTGAAAAAGGGAAGACAAAAGCAAAAAACATCATCACTTTTTTTGACAGGGACTTAGCAAGGTTACAAAGCCCTCATAACGACGCGCTAGTGGTTACTTTATACGTCAAGAACTTTGATATCAAGCGGATCTTGATGGACCAGGGGAGCTCGTGTGAGATAATGTACTATGAGACCTTCAAACAACTAAAATTAGAGGATAAAGCTGCAACATCTCCCTTGGTCGGTTTCAACTCAATGCCAGAATGGCCAGTTGGCAAGATAATTTTGTTGGTCAAAGCCGGGATGATGACAAAACAAGTGGAATCCTGAGTGTTGAAAGTACCTTCCACTTACAACATTATTTTGGGAAGACCATGGTTGTATGCCATGCGAGCAGTAGCATCAATCTACTATCAGGTGATGCGATTTCCTAACAAAGTTGAAGCGATTGAAGAGGTCTTGAGAGACCAAATCATGTCCAAGTAGTTCTTTGTGATCGTAAATGGTAGACGAGCTGCCAAAGGGTTT